TTTTATTCATTCGCGCAACTAGGTGCGGAGGGGATATAGCATCGCGAATATGTGTAACTGTGTGTGTTAGTTACAGCTTGTGGGCAAGATTTACCGAGAACCTTTGCATTAACCACTCTCAGCTTTTATATACTTGCGTGGCACTATAAAAGGACGAAGCCTATCATTTTCAAATTAATCTATGGAATATTTCTTAAAATAAAGCGTTTTTACTACCTTCTAACCCTGGAATTTTATGTACGACTTCACAATGCTTACTTCCGCTAATAGCTTTCATTCACGTCATTAAACGTTAGGCGGCGCTGCTGTTTTATAAGTGGTACGCGGGACGCTTGAATCCCGAAAGCGCTTGTAACTAATAAAAACAACATGGATTCCGACGCTGTGGATCTGGTAGATTGGCCGGTATCGCGCTTAAAAAAGGAGTTGGTCGATCGCGGAGCTCGGACAACTGGGCGAAAGACTCAGCTTATTGACAGGTAGTTTCATTTATCTTGTGATAACTTATTTTTGTTGCGGTATATTAAACAACAAATACATATATCAAAGCATGATTAGTAAACAGAGAGGATTTCGTGATAAAATGCAAGATGGAACAGGTATGGCAGATGCATCTCAACAACGATTTTGAGTGCTGTTGTTTCCCCCTTTTCTCTTTATATAGATATACATGTATAATCATTACTATATTAGATTAAGAGCCTACATAAGGAATGACAACTTCACCCCAGCGTCCATCACACTACCTGAGCCTTCTGTGGTGGACTGGCCCACATCAGGATTTAAGCAGCTTCAAAAAGACCACCATCTTATCCTTCCAAAAATATCCAAGGAGCAGATAGAGGCCTACTTCATTTACAGAATGGCTGGTACAATGAATTAACATAAATATAGAATCTCTCATGGTTTATGGTTGGATATTAATTTTATTCAACTAGATAACATTTTCTTTTCTTCAGCCTTGAAAAAGGGATAAAAAAAAACACACACACACATCAAATTTTGATAAAAAATCACACATCTTACCACAAATCAATGGGAATTTTTTTTTATAGTATGTTGAAATAAAAGAGTAAAACATGACATAATCTTTGTAAATACAATTTCATTTTTTTTAAATAAGAAAAAGTTAAATAATGGATTTTTTTTCTCTCAATTAAATGAAAGTAAACTATACAGTGATACAATAGAGTTCCTGGAATTCAGAAATATCATTCAACTTAAAATACATGTACTTCATTACTTTCATTCAGATGACAGACAAGCACGGAATGATTTAAAGTCTATAACAAAAGGACAACTGATGTATGAAAGTGACAGAGTACTGACATGCTCCATACTTATTCATGATAACATATACCTAAGTGGCATTGTAGGAGCAGCAATGAAGAAAAAGGTTATATATTTTTTAATCAAGTACGACTGAAATTATTTCAACATGACAAAGTGAGCATTAGTGATCTTCATGTTATTTATTTCAATTTCATAATGATTCAGTTATAGTTGTTAACGCCTTATTTAATTGAATGAATATAATCATATAACCTGGATTGCCTACGTCAAAAACGTATCAGTCCAATTGATGTTTCATTTAAAATACAGCAATTTTGAACATGTTGAAGGAACAATCATTTTATTTTCTACATTTAATAACTGGAAACTTAAATTATAAGGAATGAACTAAACAACTACCTAAGTCATACTGGTTTGCATATAACCTGAGTTTGAAGAGTTTAATTTTTTTTAATAAACTGCTCTGTAGTTTGTAAATTAAAGTGTAAACTGCCCCAACCCAGGTTATACCAGTATAACTTGAGTAGCTATTAAATTCATTCCCTTTATAATATTTAATGCTACAGGTATCAGATATATACAAGATAAGATTAGACAAAAAGTCTGGAGACCCTTTAAATACACACTGTGAGTGTCCAGCAGGGAAGGGGCCTCAGGGAAGCTGCAAACACATTGCTGCAGTCCTCCTGATGATAAAAGAGTTTACAGAATCAGGAGAACTCGGACTAGGGAAGTCGTGCACTGATACTTTAATGATGTTTACAAAACCAAAATCCTCCTATGATGGTAATTTATTATACCCCCCGCTTGAAAAGCGGGAGGGTATATAGTAATCGGTATTTCCGTCCGTCTGTACGTCTGTCCGTCCGTCCGTCCGTCTGTCTGTCCGTCCGTCCGTCTGTTACGCTTTAGGGTACCCATCTCTTATCCGCAACTCCTCTTATACCACTGAGTGAAATCTAATGGAACTTTCACAGAATCTTTATTACATATTGCCATTGTGCACCTCCTATTTTACTTTTGGATCTGACACATATTTTGGGTTTCCCGGCCACGGCAAAACATGGACTTTGTCATCAGTTATAACGATATGGGAGGCGGGGGGTATCATTTAGTGAGCTCATTGCTCACAGTACCTCTAGTTATTCCTTTAAATAATTAAGTAAATTCTGGATATTGTAAGTTTCTTTGAAACTGTATAATTTAACCCATCAGTTTTAAAACATTTTTGTTCATTTCACAGTAGTGCAATTTGTTTATTTTTTTGTGTGCTTTCAAGGATCTCCAGTCAAAGCTGAAAACCTTCCAACAAAGAGAAAGTTGGCTGCAGACTTCCTCAGTGACCCAAGGCCAGAGAAAAGAAGAAACTGTCCTGGATACAACGACTATGTACAATCTATAGTTACCAATTACTGCAGCCAGTCCTCAAATGATATCTCATTCCGATACATGTATGGGAAGGCAAATATTCAGGTATTTATATTTGAATGAAATAAGAAATTAATTACATTCTGGTGAAGTTGTATTTTTCAACAGTGTACAAGTAATTAATATGACAAAAATTTTTTTTCAAGGCTGCTGTCAAAGACCACGACTATTGCCAATTGCCTTTTACTGAGCACTGGGTTGATAATTCCATTAAGGTACATGTGATAGATTTTGTTAAAATAAATCGAACACTTATGATTTTTAGTTGTTTAGCAATTAATGCTAATCTTATACACATATAGGTAACAGAATCTGATGTAGTAAGGATTGAAGAGTCCACAAGACAACAGAGTGCAAGCCAGATTTGGTTCATCGAGAGGAAGTGGCGCCTTACGGCATCAAAGTTTGGGGAAATATGCAAGGCCACTTCTCGTCGAAATACCAGGAAGCTGTGTGCTGCATTATTGTCTGATGTTCAAATCAACAGTGAAGCTTTGCGGCATGGAAAAAATTATGAGGCAAAAGCTTTGAAAGTATTCAACAGCAAATTTAATGTACATGTAAATGCTAAGAAATGTGGGTTTTTTGTTTGTTTAGACAAGCCTTTTTTAGGTGCTTCTCCTGATGCTGTTGTTGATGGAAGTAGTATTGTTGAAATTAAATGTCCATTTAATGGCAGAAATAATGTTGTGAAACCAGGGAAAAATTTCAAATTTTTGAAATATGATGATGAGGGAAAAATTGTTTTGAAGACTTCAAGCAAATATTATGACCAGATACAAGGCCAGCTTTATGTAACTAAAAGGTCTCTGTGCTACTTTGTTGTATATACCTTAAGCGATTTGTTTGTACAGAAAATCTTGTTTGACGATGAATACTGTAACAATTGTCTCCTTCCTAAGCTAGAAACTTTTTACAAAACGTTTTTCAGAAGTTATGTTGCATTCATGTTTTAAAATGAAATTTTCTTTGTATTGCATTACACAGAACTCTTTTAAGAGGTCATTTGCCATTTACAGTGATCAATGATCAAGATAAATAACAAACAGTCTCAATACATGTTTATTGCATTTGGAAATATTCATTTCATCAATGGGTACCATACATGTAATAAATAGTTACATAAACAAACATATTTATATACACATGTATATTTATATATATATGTATGCAAACATTAATATCAGTCATTTTTTTTTTATCTTGTCTGAAAAAATGATTAGTACTGACATTCCACCACAGCTCTCAAATACTCAACTGTTACAGTTTGCTAAATACATGTATGAATTTTCAATGTTACCCTGAACTGTATATTTTAAAAAAATGTTAAGTGCATCCTAATCATTATTGTATATTGTACTTTATATAGTTTTCAGCTGTACTACAGTATTTAAGTCATCCATGTTCTGTGATTATATTAAGGTGATTGTGCAGAAAATATATACTTTTGTATGGATTTTTCATGTTGTTTTTTTCTGTCTTATTATGGAAGGTATAGAATAATCTTAAAATCTTCAAATCTTAAAATTTATATTGAATATTGTGTCATTCACTGTAGATTTCAATTTTTCCTCATTAGTATTTGTTCAAAGGAATATGTATCACTATAACAGTATATCACTACAGTGGAATTAGTACTCTTCAGTGTGCAATGATATGCTTCCTTAAGAACATGAATGATTTTTATATATACACATATTGAATACTGCAAAAACTTGAATTATAAAAGATTTTCATCTCAACATTCAACACTATCTAGCCTGGGGGCCATAAAAGTTAAATGAGCTCACTTTTTATCTCATTCTTACTTTTATCAAAGGAATATATAGTGGAAAAGTGAGACTGTGATCAAAAGTGAGCTCATCTAACTTTTATGGCCCGTAGGCCAGTTCTCTCTGTGGTGAAACTGAATTTTAAACACAGCTTATCAGTACATGCATGTATAAGCAACAGATTTTTTTTTTTTACAAAAAGTCACATAGAATATAACTTTATGCATTCTTTGGAACAATATTTCTCCTGAAGTTTGATATGGCAAAACAAATAAATATGATGCGTGACCCTAACTGAAGTTTACTATTAGAAATCCCATGCTTCAGTATTTTGAAACTCTTTGACAAACCGATAACTCTCTCAATGTGGATTCTTTTAGACGCCACTCTTCTATCATGAACCACTTCGTCTGGATCTAATTGGGATTTTCCCTTTAGCAGTGTTGGGGTATTAATATGAACATCTTGGTTAGCAAATAAATCCTGAACCATAATCCCCCTATCAGCCATGATGGAATCACCCTTTTCAAAGAGATTTAATGTAGGTTCTAAAAGACAAGATTTTTCAATAATCTGTCTATCAGAAGCAGAGCCCCCGTAGGAATCAGAAATGAAGGTTATGGCACCCTTTGGACTGCAACCAATCATTGTCTTGAGTGTGTTTTTGTGTTTGTAATTGGACCAAGTCACACTCTGACAGTTAACATGGGACGGCCTTTCAATAGGTATCTCAGTAGCGTCTAGTATAACTCTGGTGTTCGGGAATTTTGAGTTAAAGTCTTGAGGCATGTATTCATGGATGACGGCTGGAGCTGGCCAAATATTGATCTCTTTTAATTGGAAATACATGAAATTTATCCACGTAATAATTATTCTAGATACTGTGGACTCAGACACATTAAAGAGCATTGACAATTCAAGATCTTCTTTGTCTTGTCTAAGTTTGATTAGAGTCATAAATAACTGGTCTTTTGGATGGAGTAAGGAACACTGGTATGTGAGCTCATCTACACTGGGTCCAAGGCAGTGAAAAAACATCATAAAGTGGTTGTAATCTTGGAACCCAGTGTAGAAGTTAATGATTTTATCATTATTCATTAAACTTTCAACTGATAACTTTCCAAATGTTGGGATTTCACACTGTATGCCTTGGTCTTGCAGTACACGCTCTTGATCTTGATAGTCATCGCAGTCAACAGGAACTTCTGGTTCAGTACTTTTTACCTCTACTTCTTGCAGACAGTCAGTCTCCTGAAAAGAAATTACTGGTACATTTTCTGGCTGTGTTTGCCTCTTCTTGAATCGTTTTTCTCGTGGCGACTCTTCATAACTTGAAGTAAATGTGAAAATTGAAGGAACTGCATCTTCCTTTAGACGTGATCTGTCACCTTATTAAAAAAAGATAAAAAATGATTTATAATAGGAAAATAGTTTGAAATTTTTGAATGTTAATTAATTGAATATTTATATAGTATATTGTCCTGGATATTGATAAGAATAACCCCAAGCAAAATAAATTAGGAAAGGTTATCATTAATGTTTCTTTAATTTAATAATTGAATATCATTTTTAATTAATTTAGTATAAAAATAATTATCATGCTTATGCTGAGGTTGTAGGAAAAAATTAATATATCTGACAATAGTTTATATTATAAGCAATGATACTATATATAAAATACTCCCAAATAATTTCATCCGCTTCATCCTCATCATCCTTGCTTGCTGCATGTCTGTTTAACAAGACGTAACCTGGGAAATGGAAAACAAACCACAAAGCAACGCGAACAGAAATTCAATTTATTAGTTAAAAATAACTATCATCGAGAAAAAAAATGAAAATTCAACAAAAAACAATCCATGAACGTGTAATTAATATTCTAACTAACCTAACAGCGTCGTCTTGTAGTCACTAGCGAGAAAGTGGGCGTAACATACCACGTCGAACCTTCCAGGTCTCCATAGACGCTTTCTCTCGTCCATTCGTTTGATGGCAACTCTCCATTTCAAATTTAGCGATGCATCAAATGGGAAACGATGTCCGCCGGTATTTTTACATCCAGGAACGCAACAATACTGTGGCATATTATGTTAAACTAATTCAGTATATCGTAATACAGTAAGGTAGTTCAGCGTCAAGCAAAAACATTCAAGCGTCACAAGACAAAGCGTTTCCGAAACCACTTATAAAACAGTGGCGCCACCTTTTGACGTATAATGCACGGGTGGAACCTATTCGGGTTGCTTCAATAAACTGAAGTTTTATGTACGACTTGACAAATACCACTTCTGTTTTATCAACCTGGTAAATTCGGGTCGCTTCGATAGACTCGCTCAGTAAGTTTTACTTTGCACATGTATTTGCACATAAATCCTGAACCATAATCCCCCTATCAGCCATGATGGAATCACCCTTTTCAAAGAGATTTAATGTAGGTTCTAAAAGACAAGATTTTTCAATAATCTGTCTATCAGAAGCAGAGCCCCCGTAGGAATCAGAAATGAAGGTTATGGCACCCTTTGGACTGCAACCAATCATTGTCTTGAGTGTGTTTTTGTGTTTGTAATTGGACCAAGTCACACTCTGACAGTTAACATGGGACGGCCTTTCAATAGGTATCTCAGTAGCGTCTAGTATAACTCTGGTGTTCGGGAATTTTGAGTTAAAGTCTTGAGGCATGTATTCATGGATGACGGCTGGAGCTGGCCAAATATTGATCTCTTTTAATTGGAAATACATGAAATTTATCCACGTAATAATTATTCTAGATACTGTGGACTCAGACACATTAAAGAGCATCGACAATTCAAGATCTTCTTTGTCTTGTCTAAGTTTGATTAGAGTCATAAATAACTGGTCTTTTGGATGGAGTAAGGAACACTGGTATGTGAGCTCACCTACACTGGGTCCAAGGCAGTGAAAAAACATCATAAAGTGGTTGTAATCTTGGAACCCAGTGTAGAAGTTAATGATTTTATCATTATTCATTAAACTTTCAACTGATAACTTTCCAAATGTTGGGATTTCACACTGTATGCCTTGGTCTTGCAGTACACGCTCTTGATCTTGATAGTCATCGCAGTCAACAGGAACTTCTGGTTCAGTACTTTTTACCTCTACTTCTTGCAGACAGTCAGTCTCCTGGAAAGAAATTACTGGTACATTTTCTGGCTGTGTTTGCCTCTTCTTGAATCGTTTTTCTCGTGGCGACTCTTCATAACTTGAAGTAAATGTGAAAATTGAAGGAACTGCATCTTCCTTTAGACGTGATCTGTCACCTTATTAAAAAAAGATAGAAAATGATTTATAATAGGAAAATAGTTTGAAAGTTTTGAATGTTAATTAATTGAATATTTATATAGTATATTGTCCTGGATATTGATAAGAATAACCCCAAGCAAAATAAATTAGGAAAGGTTATCATTAATGTTTCTTTAATTTAATAATTGAATATCATTTTTAATTAATTTAGTATAAAAATATTTATCATGCTTATGCTGAGGTTGTAGGAAAAAATTAATATATCTGACAATAGTTTATATTATAAGCAATGATACTATATATAAAATACTCCCAAATAATTTCATCCGCTTCATCCTCATCATCCTTGCTTGCTGCATGTCTGTTTAACAAGACGTAACCTGGGAAATGGAAAACAAACCACAAAGCAACGCGAACAGAAATTCAATTTATTAGTTAAAAATAACAATCATCGAGAAAAAAAATGAAAATTCAACAAAAAACAATCCATGAACGTGTAATTAATATTCTAACTAACCTAACAGCGTCGTCTTGTAGTCACTAGCGAGAAAGTGGGCGTAACATACCACGTCGAACCTTCCAGGTCTCCATAGACGCTTTCTCTCGTCCATTCGTTTGATGGCAACTCTCCATTTCAAATTTAGCGATGCATCAAATGGGAAACGATGTCCGCCGGTATTTTTACATCCAGGAACGCAACAATACTGTGGCATATTATGTTAAACTAATTCAGTATATCGTAATACAGTAAGGTAGTTCAGCGTCAAGCGAAAACATTCAAGCGTCACAAGACAAAGCGTTTCCGAAACCACTTATAAAACAGTGGCGCCACCTTTTGACGTATAATGCACGGGTGGAACCTATTCGGGTTGCTTCAATAAACTGAAGTTTTATGTACGACTTGACAAATACCACTTCTGTTTTGGTGGCAGAGGATAGTTTCGAATAAAGTACCGGTCAAAAAATAGAAAAAAAAGAGATACCTGAGGTTTGAATGCATATTATAGGTAATTTTATAGCTAGAATATTTTATGTGTGCATTTGGAGGGAATTGGTGGCCTTGTATAATTTATTGAAATATGACACTTTAGTGTCACTACTACTGTATATGGGATATGGACTAGAAATACGAAACTAAGCTCAAAACTCGCTCTACCGGTATTTCACCAGAAAAGCGGGGTGGGTTCACAGGATGAATTGTAGCTTGAAAACGAGGTGGTTGAGCCATTATCTCTTGCTGTTCATTGGTATGTACAAATGTTATTCTGCAATTTGTGTGGTAGCTTAGGTCAGGCGCACGGGCCTGGAAGCAGATGTGGCTGCGGCGAAATAGTGAAAATAGGCTTGATTCACATGAAATTTTGAGATTGTCCCTGCGCCATCTTTAGGGCTCATTGTGTAAGTTGTACATGTTTTATTCCTAAAAGCTTCAAATTTCTCAAGGGACTACATCATACTATTATTACATGTAGAGGGAATTTAAAATTTTTCAATGCACATTTTTAAAGCAGCTCAATATTAAGTAAACCGTCAGTCAAACGTTTTGATTGCAAAAAAACTATCCTCTGCCACCTTCAAGAATGCATCAATTTTTAGAAATGTGAATTTTAGTCTGATTTTTATACAAAAGAGTTTATTTATGTAAGTCAATTTAAATAAATACTTTGTTTCTGTTATTTAAAATCTGTACAGTTAGGTATATTCACTAAAAAGCAAGGGGGGTTACTCTTTTCCAGCATACATTTTTAAAGACTTTGAACCATCAGCATAATAAATCATATAAGATTCAGGCATTTCTTGCCAGAGAATAAATTAATTGTTTGAATTTGATTCTTTGGGTAGTGTCGCATAATGAAAATCATGTCTTGAATTAATTAATTAAATCTAATTAAAATTTAAGTGTATTAATTAGTGCGATATCACTGAAATTACATATATTTGCCATTTTTTCAACCTAATTTACTAAATATAATTATTTTGAAAATAAAAATCAGTCAGCATACCTAAATGTCACTAAACCTAATCATAAATAGTACAAAAAAACTTTTTTTGCTTTATTTTTCCAAATTTAACCTATTCTGTTATTGATATTTTCATGAAATATGCCCCCCCCCTTTTCAATTTTTGAATTTATCTATATTTTAATGTGACAGAATCTAAATTTTTCAATGGTTTGCTATAAAATGACTATTTTTCTTTGAATAATAACAAAACAAAGAGTTTATATTGCATATTTAATGAAGTAATATCAATAAAATGTGCATTCTCATGTAATTATTGAATTCTGCTAGGCCCATATAATTTGCCCGCAATTGCCCAGGATGAACAGAATAATCACTTTTAGTATTCAGGAGAATGAAATGTATGTATTTGATTACTCATAACTGTTAAAAGTGAATATCAGACACTTAGAAAGAATTCAGCTAGGACAAACAATTTTTTACAGTGCATTTTCATTACACTGAAGAAATGGCTGCAGGGGTAGCGTGTTGAACAGCCATTTCCTGGACACCTTTTCTTTAGCATATGATGCAATAGGGTTTTTTGCATATCATGATAAATATCTTGAAAGTTGAAAGGGGTTTTAACTTTGCAAAGAAGTTATAGGTATATAAAACCAAGTGAAAAAGAGATAAAATGGAATTTCATAGAACATGAAAAATAGGGGAGTATGTGATACATGTGAGTACATTTCACCAAGATGTGCCCTTTATATTTGACTTTTTACATATAAATGTATTTGAAATAGATTAAAATTACCATTTAACACTTTTTTGCTGGTATATTTATCATCTGGAGTTGTAAGAATTGCATTTGTTTTATGTGTAAGAAACAATATGGGGTTAAGGTGGTTGACCGAGAATTGGTGAGGTCTCTTATTTGGCCATAACTTTTTTATTTTTCAATGAATCAAGACATATTTGGTATATTTTTACTCAGAATTGCATGTTCTTTTTGAATTGAGCAAGGTTTATTACTTGCAAGACAAACTTTGAAAGTTAAAGGTGGCAGAGGATAGTTTCGAATAAAGTACCGGTCAAAAAATAGAAAAAAAAGAGATACCTGAGGTTTGAATGCATATTATAGGTAATTTTATAGCTAGAATATTTTATGGGTGCATTTGGAGGGAATTGGTGGCCTTGTATAATTTATTGAAATATGACACTTTAGTGTCACTACTACTGTATATGGGATATGGACTAGAAATACGAAACTAAGCTCAAAACTCGCTCTACCGGTATTTCACCAGAAAAGCGGGGTGGGTTCACAGGATGAATTGTAGCTTGAAAACGAGGTGGTTGAGCCATTATCTCTTGCTGTTCATTGGTATGTACAAATGTTATTCTGCAATTTGTGTGGTAGCTTAGGTCAGGCGCACGGGCCTGGAAGCAGATGTGGCTGCGGCGAAATAGTGAAAATAGGCTTGATTCACATGAAATTTTGAGATTGTCCCTGCGCCATCTTTAGGGCTCATTGTGTAAGTTGTACATGTTTTATTCCTAAAAGCTTCAAATTTCTCAAGGAACTACATCATACTATTATTACATGTAGAGGGAATTAAAAATTTTTCAATGCACATTTTTAAAGCAGCTCAATATTAAGTAAACCGTCAGTCAAACGTTTTGATTGCAAAAAAAACTATCCTCTGCCACCTTTTATCAACCTGGTAAATTCGGGTCGCATCGATAGACTCGCTCAGGAAGTTTTACTTCGCACATGT